GATGTTCACATGAATGATATACAGCTTTATTCATAGCTAAAGCTAGAAACAACCCAAATGTCTTTCAATGGGTGAATCATTAAGCAAACTTTGGTACATTCATATCCACGAATGCTACTCAGCAATAAAGAGAAATGAGATATTAATATATGGAATAACTTGTATGGATTTCAAGGGAATTATGCTGAATGAAAAAAAAGCCAATCTCAAAGCTTAAATCGTATATGATTTCCTGCATATAACATTCTTAAAATGATAAAATGCTAGAGGTGGAGAACAGATTAGTAGTTGAATTGCTTATCATAAAAATCTCTATTATTTTTAATAATTTCCTCATGCTCTATTTCAAATAAAATCAATTCATTGAGATAGACCTTTAGAGCTCTCTATACTTAGGGACTGACTCTCTCCCCTTTGGCAAAATCTTTGAACCACTGTTCCGGGCACTAGGCAGGAATGGTGGCCTCTGGTCTTCTTATCTTCTCAGCTTGTATTTCTGCACGTGGAACCTCAGCCGTATAATTAAGTTGGGATGAGGGCAATTAGGGCTTCACTATTCTTGGCCTGTCACAACTGGGATAGAGCCTCCACTTTATAAATGGGGGCTGGAAGGACACAGGGAACTCATGACATCTCAGCCACACTCACCAAAAATTTAACCCCTCCAACTTAAATTTAGAGGGAATTAGAAATGTTACTGGCTTGTCCCTTTTGATAGACGTCTTATCCCATGGATGGGAGCTGAGGGGAGACAGATCCTCATTCTCTTGGGCACACCCACACAGAGTGGAATTTCTTTCCAGCTAAACTGGGAAGTAGGGGGAGGGAGGAAGAGACAAGTTTTGGCTTCAGTGCCATAGATTCTCTCTGTTCTTACCAAGTTTTCATAGATTTTCTTGAACAGATATTTCTTCATCCTTTCTATGTTCCAGAGACTAAATGGTTGTTTTGTTTTGTTGTTATACAATTTTTAGCAGTTACGTTTGTTGGTCTTGGGATAAGGTCTATGGAGCCCTTCACATTGACATTCTGGAAGTGGAACCCCAGATTTATTTTTCAAAAGACTGTGTCAAAGAAAATTCTTGGTTTCATTACACACTCTGAGTTTCAATGTTCTTATGTCTAAATGGGGATAATAATCCACGTCACACTGCTTAGGACATGGTAGCCCTGAATAACTGCCAGTTTCTTCTTTCCCTCTTATCCCACTTTTAGAACTTAGAGAAGTTCTAGTTGAATAAAGGTGTCTGCTCAATAATGCATTGTTATGCTTTAAGAATTTCTCAACTCCAAGAAAGTATTTCAAGTAAAGTGAGAAATATACTTAAACACTCAAAAAACAATCGTCACACCAAAACCAGGGTTGTTTTAGAGATTTGGCTCATGAGAAAATACTTTTAAAAAACCATAAACAACATGACTCAAGGCCTCTTTCTTCTTCCTCTCTCTCCCTCACCAACTCCCCCTTCCCCACTCACTCCTAACTCACTTTTCTCCTTCATTATAACCTTTTACCAACATATGAGAATTGCTGAGTATAAATCGAATGATCGAATAGTTAAAAAATATTTAGTCAGTCTGTGTAAAGATTGGTCAAGTGATTGGTAACTAATATTCTCTCTGAGCTATGTTTTCAGACAACAGTCTAGACCTTGAAATAACCCCTGCTTTAATAGATGATAGATAGATGATAGATGATAGATGATTGGTAGGTCGATAGATGATAGATAGATGATAGATAGATAGATAGATAGATAGATAGATAGATAGATGTTATAGATCTCTCAAATAAGAAATTAAAATCTTATGAAAGTCATTTCCAATGTCATTCATTCATTCATTTACCAAATATGATTTAATGCCTAAGATATATATGGCACTCTTCTATATACTTGGGCCCTGGTATGCATCTTAGGAGATGAGATGGGATTTGAGGAGCTGGCCCATCAACATATGTCTTACCAAAACAGTATTGTGGCATTTTTTCAAACTTTGTTTAGCTTATCCACATACTCATTAAAATGATCAGGAAGAACAGTATGGATGTGACGCTAGGAGAGGCTGTAATTGATACTTACCTTTATTCCACCTCATACCAGCTTTAGAGCTAGCCAAAGACAATTAGTATTTTGTTTTGAACTTCTCATACAGGCAATGTTGAGCAACCAGAATCTCTTAAAATCGATTTCTAAAGTGCTACAAACTTTTTGACCTTCTTAGAAGACTTAGAACCAATTGGGGATAAATTGTCATCAAGTAAAAGAGAGGATGAGTATGATAAACAAAAATTCATACCTGAAAAATTCTATTTAGAAACCTAACTATCTTACTTCATAAAGAATTTAGCTATTAGAATAGATTTAAAAGCAAAAAAAAAAAATTTTTTTTAAGTCAAAACCAGAAGGATACTGTATAGTTTGGATTGTGAAATGAAAATTACATTATTTGGTGTGTACTGACTCCTAACTATGTGCCATACTAGCAAGACATGTTCCTATATTCAGGCTGTAAGTCTTACATATAAATAACTATAATGTTAAATAGAAAGTATTTGTTATAATAGAGAGTCTAAAAATGTCACTTGAGACAAATAAGGAAGAGATTTATTCCTGTTAGGTGGGTTTAGAAAAGGTTTCATAAAGTGTCATGTGATCTAAAGCCAATGAAGGCACAGAGCTGTGGGCAACCAAAGTGTTGCCCTTAGAGACCAGCCAGGAATCCTACCTCACTGGAGCACTGGGAAAGGGAAATAAAGTTGGATGATTTGTAGCAGATCATGAAGACCCCAAAATGTTATCAAAGGAGTTGGGGGTTTATTTTGAAGCCAACTAAAAACCATGGGAGAGTTTTGAAAAGGAGAGTAATAATCAAAATGGTATCTTAGAGAACTTATTTCGACGCCCGCATATACAATAGATTTTTAAAATATCAGAGTTAAGAAGACCCATATAGAAACCAGTGTTGCATTAGGCCAGGTGGTCCTGAACTAAAAGAGCAGAATCAAAGTGGATGGAAGTTCCATAAACACAAAACAAGAAATAGAATCAAGGCAATAGATGCCAGAGATACTATAGGGAGGGATGACTGCAACTTGGGGACTGACGTCAGCAAGATGTTTTGAAGTTTAAAGTCTGTGTGTTATGGAAGTAGACGATGTTCTTAAAAGTGAAAGGAAACAAAGATAAGATTTGGGAAAAGAAGAAAAATGATGTTTTATTTATTCAGTAAATATTTATTGAGTACTTACTATGTGCCAGGCACTGTTCTGGGGTGATGAGAGCTAGTTATCTTTAATTTTTAAAATGCCATATGTGGGAAAGGTATTGTTCCCAGTCTCTGTGACTCCAAAGGCAGAGTTGGAGCCAGTGAGTAGGAGTCAGGTAGGAAGTAAAATACCTTTTTAATAAATGCAGTCTTGATAAGTCGTAAGAGCTCTGTTCCAGGCAGTATTCAAGCATAAACTAGAAAAAATTCTTCCAGGAACACTGTGACAGGGGATTCCTGTGCTAAGAGGGAAGTTAGACTCACTTTCCTGCAAGTTCTTTCCTGATCTTAAGAGTCTTTATTCTTTCTGATGATCTAGTCCTCTGAGTTCTATTATTAATCTCTCGTGTCTCTCAATTATTAAATAAATTACTCAATCTGTCTGCCATTCAGTAAAAGCTTGCACATTTACATCTGTTATTCTCAAATTATTTTTGGTTAGGGCTCTTTTTCTTTATTAAAAATTCTACCCAGTAATGTTACCTTTAGAGCTAATTTAGAATGGTTACCCTGGTAGATTGGGTTATAAATATCAGAGGAGAAAAGGAATTCTTGTGCCTAATAATATGTTTGTTTGGAAGAAACCCTGCAAATGAGAAATGAATTATCTTGACTTCAAGACTGCGATGCAGTTTCTGTATTTTGCAGTAATTCAAAAAGAAATAAAAATCTCAGAGAGGTGCATTTTGATATAGCATGGCAAAGGAAGAGAGTAATTATTATCCAAACACTGTAAAGCTTTAGATGGGAAACATTTATCTGTGCTGCATTTAAAGAAGAAGAAAGGGAAGGGAAGAAAAAGAAAAAGGGAACCTGTAGTGAGCTTGGCTATAAGCTATAGTTAAAGCTTTGCATATCCTGGTGTCCTTTGAAACGTAAAATTCCACAACAAATAGCTCTGTAACGTGTATAACCGGTATGAAGATTCAATTCAGATTTAAGCACTTTGGTTTGCTTTTGAATCTTGCTATTTTCTGCATTTGTTTTGACTGCTCTCATCATTCAAGATTGACGCTTGGATGGGTGTGTAGGAGGAAGCAGCAGCAGCAGGCTTACAGCTTGCAGACAAAAAAAATCTGCCTTATCTGATGGCTATTATTGAAAATGCGAGGTGTAGCCTGGGCTGGGTAATGAAGGGGAGCGAGCTAGGGGGAGCAAGGAGCATGGAGCTGCATACTGATGAGTGTAGGAGTACTTGATAAAAAGAATTCTGGCTGCTGGCCGTGCATTGCTCATTGTGGAGTACTCCAACAATCACATAGAACGCAGACCAGCCTAAGCTGACAGCTTGATATGCCTTCTTCTGCTGCCTGGTTTTGGTGGCTGTATGACGTACTGGTCGGTAGTAAAGATTAATATGTAAGAAATGTGGAGCTAGGATCAAGTCATACTCCACAGCCTGCCTGGCAAACTATGTTTTACTTCTGACTTTGCTCTCTCGCTGAGAACATTAATCTGTCAAGCTGGCGGGCTCCTTTGATAGCAACTTTCCCAGGAGCATGATGTGGCAATGCCACCTCTCAGCCCAGGACTACCGCTATTACCCCGTGGACGGCTACTCCCTGCTTAAACGCTTCCCTCTTCATCCTCTTACAGGACCCAGATGCCCTGTCCAAACAGTGGGACAATGGTTGGAAAGCATTGGGCTACCTCAGTACGAGAACCACCTGATGGCTAATGGATTTGACAATGTGCAGTTTATGGTAAGACGCTCTCTGTGTCCACAGAGCTGCCTTTTGTCTGTCTTTGCTTCTTATGTGTCTTACACGGCTCAGAGGCAGCCTGATTTGCACTAAAACCGGTCAATTTTATATATGTAACAGCATCAGAAAATCGGATGCTCTTAGGACTGAACTTACTGTGTACATATAGACACTTGCAGAAAAATAAGATCTATAGTCATCCATATACATATATGTATTATGTGAATGAACCGATGAAAGTACTATTTATAGGCAGGGAAAGAAGATTAACATTTATATTCTCCCTGTCATTCTCTGTGTGATTTTTATAAATTTGCAATACCCAGTTAGATTATAGCATTCTTCAGTTAATTCTAGATTCCTAAAACATCTTATTTCATTTAGTGATTAATTAGACAATTCGTTATGTTTATGATGTGAAGATCATTTTTTTTTTCCTGAGAATTGTTCGGTAAGCAGCTTAAATTGTTTGGACGACCTTTGGCTCGTTAGCAAACTGCTTCAGATGGTCAATTATGAAGAGCATTCGCTTACTTACACATGCTGATTGAAGAGCATCGAGGTATTGTTTGTTAATTTAGGTAGAAAACAAACACTTCCATCAATTAACTGTCAATATTTAGAAAGAGGCTAATGACTAAGTACCTTCATGTACTTCTGAATGCTGGTCTGCATGCAACCTAAACCTAGTATGTGCAAACTTCTCACTGTGGTAGATAGAGGTGAGGAAGGAGGATGGGGAGATGTGCAGACCCATAGTACAGCTTTCTAATCATTTACATACCTCCCCCCACTGCTCATCAGTTTCCCTTGTTAAGCTACGTCACAGTCCTTATTACCTTTCCTTGCATTTAAGGTCCCATCACGACATGTTACTGATCCCTAAATTTAGAGAAAGCTCCATAACATAGGCATGTAGCACACAAATGGCTTGTAGAAATAATTAATAGCTATTTCTAAATAAAATGCTGGAACTGACACCTGGAGCTTATTAATACCAGAATTGATAACAAAACACTGAGAGCTAGTCATGCCTTTTTATCTCCATTTGAGATTATTTTTCTCCAAGCTTGACTTGACTATTGTAGCTTTGAAAATTACTCAAATTGTTAAACTTCTGCCTCTTCTCCAAAAATATATATGCCCTGTGAGCTTTTTTTTTAAAGCTACATAAATGTATTAAAACATGTGAGCTCTAAATAATTGTGTACATGGAACTCAATATGAATCTATTTTTTATGAGATATACAGCTACTGTTATTTTTCTCATGTTTAAAAATACCATCACTGATTAGACCAGACAAGATGTTGTAGATGTTGAAATAGGAAAAAAGTGACATTTCTTCAATTGCTATGAGTCTTAGGACACTGAGAAGATTTAAGACAGATTTAGGGCACGAAACAGATAACACCAAGAATTAGAGGAACTATCAAACAGAATAAAAGTCTTTGCATCATTATTTATGTTTACTGCACATTTTGATAAGTATTCTTTCTCTCTACCGCTACTTGAGATAAGACTTTCTCATTCTCACTCCTCAAACCCTTGTCTAAATTTATTCTTGTTCCATAAGAAGTTAGGTAGGTTTTTGGAGTCTCCAGAATATTGGGCTGCTTTGAAAGATTTTTAATTCAGCATAATTTTCCTCTGAATGTTAAACACTTTTGAACAAATATAATCCATTTTTGAAAGCCTAGAACTGAAAGATTAATCAAACAGGTTTCAAATAAGCATTAGGAGATTGTAAAAAACATTCATGAATGAAATATGTATAAGTACTCCAAAATGTATCTGGGAGGAAAAAATCCTGTACATATATGACAAAACCAGGGTCTGATCTTCTCCATAAATTACTCTTTTTCAATTCCAAATGTTGTATATAATTTTCCAGAAATTGAGAAAACGGTTAATTCAGATGAGTCAGTCAAATACTTTCTTCATGAGACAGAATCAATTTTTAAAACTTTGAATTATCATTTAGAGGAATTAATTATGGAAATGAAGCAAATCATAAAATGGTGTCATCAATTATTGCTTTACATGCTGCCAAGCACCACTTATTTTCTATTAGTATCATAAAAAATCAATGTCTACCTTTATAAAAATTATTTGTTGATCTCCATCATTTAATTTATTTCATTATGAACTTAGTTAAAGCACACTGATATGATCAGACCACTTTAAGAAACAGATTTCATTGAATGTGGTGAAAGATCTATTAAACCTGCTTAGTCTCCACTCGGTGTCATAGTCTAGCTTTTGTTTTTCTTGAAGCACATTCTGACCTGCATTTATTCATCTTGTTGCCTAAGCAACAAGCACCACACTTCTATGAACTATGATGCAGTGCAGGTCTTATTAGCTATTTAGAACAAGACAGTAGAGACATCAAAAGGATATAATTAATGTATGTTGAAACATCATAGTAGTACATCCATGCATAGATGCACTTAATTTAAGCAACGTCCTCGAGAGTTAATTTTTCATTTCATTTCATTAACAAATGGGAGTTTTAAAGGGTCCGTACAAGTAACTTTCAAAGTATTTATTGAAATCTTAACAAATCTTTTGCTAACTCTGTTCTACATATTCCCACACACAAACACAATATGTAGATAGTTTATCCACATTGCTATGATTAACTTTAATAAAGATTTCTTACATCAATTTCTAGACATGGTTAGAAAAGAAGGACCACCAATTATTTTTAAATATCTATAAATTACTGATTCTCCTTTGGTCTCTTAATATTTATCCTTGATTTTATTGATGTGTGATTTTTTTTTCCAATATCTGAAAGTTAGAATTCAAAACTTTTTCTCTATGTGTACATGGTTCAGGTTTGCAGAATAGTTGTACACATAGTTTTGACCCTTCTATATCCTAAAATAGATAAAATAAATAGAACTTGGTATAATCAATGAATAACTACAAAAGTACATCAGGTCACTCAATACTTTGGGAAAGTCAGATCGGTGCTGTAATCATAAGCTCCTTCAACATGGCATCCTTCATCAGAAGATTTAGCCAAGGCCCCATCTACCTGTTCATCTACTCTGAAGTCATACATCAGCTCCCTCATAGTTAGACATGTCTACTGCTACTCACTAGCCTCTGGGAAAGTTGCTGGGATCCTCTGACATCCCACCTATTTTTCTCCCAGTTTGCAACATGTATAATGTGCCTAGGTTTCAAAGTTACTTTTTTTCAGCAAGGAGTTTAGGTATGAAAGTTAATATGCAAAATGCACATGCTCGTTTACTTCCTTATTATGTATGTTTTGACCATCATCTCCTTTTTCCAAATCTTCTTTTTCCAATGACTGCTTCCTAAACTTTAAGTCTTGAATTATCTATTCTTGTGTTGATGACTGCTCATGGCTCTCCTCTCCTGAACAGCTATTTCCTTTCCTGCCCCACTGTATTTTATCCTCAAAGGTCTAACTCAATTCCTGCCTTGTTTATGTAGCTTTCTTTAACAACACCAATCCTCCGTAGCCTCTCTTTTCTCTGAACTCATGGAGTAGTTGTATTTGGACTGAAAAATTACACTTGGCATGCCATTATTCACTCTCTAGAATGAGGAGTTAAGTTTTCACTTGTATATATCTTGTCTCTCCAACTAGACTGGAAGCTCTTCAAGTCCAAGTTCTGCGTATTCAGTTTCCTTATCTTTCTCAAATGCTAGCATAATGCTGTGTATATAGAAATCATCCATAAACACTGGGTGTACAGCAGATTGTTGTAGATGAACCTCTAGCCTCATTTTTCATGTAGAAGCCTTGTCTGCCAGTGGAAACATAGAGCACTAGTATTATTCATGCAACAAATGTTCCTTAAAATTTTTTCTATGTGCTAGGGACAATGTTAATTACTAGGGATGTGACAGTGAACATTATATGATCCTTGACCTTAAGTAGATTACAGTATTGCCCTCAGACCTATCATATTATTTCATTGAACATTGCACACGCATTCTTTCATGTACTCATACACACGCACACACACACACACACACACACACACACACACACACACTATATCACAAGGATCTTGCCCTTCACCCTTCCAATAATCACCATCCTTCAGTATATTATTTGCTAGCAATTGTTTTTCCAGCAATAAATTACAGTAATCAATGGAAGAGATAAAATCTATCATAGAATGGAATAAAGGAAGATAAAGATACTGATAACATCAAAACACTGGCGGTGTTATTATGGATTTATAGTCCAAAAGACTGAATTAAGAAGTTTATATTACTTGGAGGAGGATTGACTCATAGCCTCACTAGGATAACTAGCTGACAGTCATATTTGTAAACTCTAATCAA